GTGAATGTGGCGGAAATAATCGATTTCACGATACATGTTCTCTTTTCTATACTGTGGGCTCCTTAAAAGGAATTCATCACCTTATGCATTTTTATCTCCACCTAGCAATGGAAGGCTTTCAGTGAATATTAGCTGCACAGATGAGGACATAATACATTTTAGCATAGTTTTTCCCAGATTTGAATATTTTCTATGACAAACTTCTTTATCTTACAAGACTCAGTATTTGGGAACATTGTGAACACATCTGTTCTTAGCTCCTTTTCAATATTTTTTGGGGAAGTGTGACAAAGATATGATAATTGCACCAATAATTCAAGTATCATTTCTAAACTCTTACTCTCCTCTAACATGAGAAAATGAGATAGGTATACTTACAGGTAAGATTTAGGTCACCAGGGATTGAAGTGAGTCAGCTCAGGAACAAGCTGGCTGGCAGAGAAGAAGCTGTGTAAGCAAGGATAGTTGTAATTCTTTTTCTCCTGACTTGAAAATTGAAGATTTCTTGGGTCCTTCAAAAATTAAATCTGTTATCATCTTAAGCCGTCTACTTTTCTGTGAACCCCTGTGTGCTATTTTAAACTAACTCCCATGTCTTTTTTCTGCCCAGGGCTCTCACAATAATAATGAACAGACATCATCTGAGGGTATCCCACATGTCCAGCACTGTTGTAAAACTCCAGATATTAACTCATTTAACCCTCACAACAACGTAGTAGAGAGGGGGTTTTGTGTTCTCACTTCACATTTGAGAAAACCGAGGCACAGAGAAGTTACATAATCTCTCCAGGAGAGAACCAGGATTCAAACCTACACGGTTCTTTAGACCTTTTTAGTTCTTTCTCTGAACTGCTACCCTGTATTATAACATGCACCCCCCCCAAAAAATGGATGGTAGTGGGACTAGATTAAGAGACTCTGAATATATAAGAACAAATTTTGCCTCAATACTGGAAAAGGTAGCTTCTGATCCAATGGGGTCAGAAAATATGAATGAAAATATGTGCCCAGAGTGGTTGAACTACAACTTGGTTATATATATTTTAGGGAGAAAGAAGTTTCCCCCCCGAAAAAACCATAAATCGATACATGTAAGATTTACATTGGTTGTGCCCAGAAAGGCCAACCATTTTGAAGTGGATTAGGGGTGCTTATAGGTCACAGGTGGATTCCAAGGTTTTCTGATTGGCAACTGGTAGAGTTAAGCTCTGTCTAAAGAATTTGAAATCAGCAAAATAAATGAGTGGGTTAGGATGGGGGATTTGTGGAAGGTTCTTGACATATAGATGAAGGCGCTAGTTAGCAGGCTTCAAAGGCAAAAGGTGCTAAAAGTCTTAAAAAGGTGTCTGGTTCCGCTTAGGGAAGGATCTTCTTCTGGGGGGAAAACAAAACAAAAAAAAAAGAAAGAAAGTTAACTTAACAAGCCCCTTGCAGTACACTCAGAATTTGTTCCTCTGGGTTAAAAGGTCAACGAAAGTTTTTATCTGGAAGTTCTCGGAAGGTTGCATCACAATTTGCAGAAGAAAGGTTGCATCACAATTTGCAGAAGAAACGTCCCAGACTAGGGCAAACCGGTGGCTGGTTCTTCCCCTGTAACCACACACCCGCCCACATCATGCTGAGCATTCGGCAGTTTTTGACCAAAAGCGGCATGAGCCTTGTCCTCCACCCTTCCTGTTCACCTGCCTCCTGCGACTTCTTTTGTTTGAAGGAAGTTTCAAAGCGAAACGTTGTGCTGATGTGGAAGAGGTGAAACAAAAAATGGCAGAAGCACTGAAAGGCATCACAGTGGACGAGCTTAAAAACTTGTGAGCAGCGGAAAAAGCGTCTCGATAGGTCTATTGCTATCTGAATATATAAGAACAAATCTAGCCTCTGTACTGGAAAAGGGAGCTCCTGATCCAGTGGGGTGAACTGATTACAAAGGATCCATGTTGTTAATATTGATAGAGATTCAGTCATCAAAACTATAACCTCAAACAGAGAGTACTTTGACGGTGCGTGAAGTTTAAACATGTAAGAATAAATACACAATTTTTAATAAATGAACTTTGGGTTTTTTGTTTTTTGTTTTTTTGGTTCCCAGATACACAGATGCAAATTTTCCCAAAAGATGGCTTTGCCTGATCATTTAAAAATATGTCAAAGAAACATATTTTGGGGAGAAATAATTTTGACTTCCTTCTTTATCTGTCATGTTATACCAGAGTCAGTTTGGAAAATAAGCCACATTATACAGGGTTAGTACGAAACCTGACACATGAGACTTTCTGGTTCATCGATGTGACTCTGACTCCTCATGCCCCTTAGTTAGGAATTGGAGCAAGAAAAATGTCAGCATTTAGTCCTCATACAAGTGTTTTTAAATGCGAAAATCTGACCTTTGGGGACAAGTGGGAAAGGGTTTGCCTCTAGCATTAATTCTAAGCACCGAGACTTGAAATTTTGCTTCTCATAAGAGAGATTGTGTGGGCGTCTCCCCCCACCCCCAGTGCTCTTGGAGAGCTTGTTGCTGCTTACTTACGGAATTCAATGCTCTCTCTCTCAAACATACATTTTTATTTAGTTTCATATTTATTTGTGTTGACTTCACAAATCATGGTTGAATATTTTGTTATTTTTATGCAGCTTGACTTTTTGTTCATTGTTGCTTTTAAACATATTCATAATGAGTTAAAAGCATAGTGTCACATTTCTAGACACTAGCATTAGCAATCACAATGGAGAGAAAGTCAAGGCCTTATCTAAAGGACAGAAGAGTTTTCAAGGTCGTTGTTTTATGGCTCTTTTACTTGATACATTTTTTGCTATTCTATTTTGCCTGAGGGAAGCATTCCAGGAAATGTACTTCATACACCTTACAAGATCAATACTGCTATCGGGGAGTAATTGTAGTCATAGTGAGAATGGGGGGTGGGGGGAGAATAGGTTGAATCGATCCAGGAAAAACTGTTTCGAGAACAAAACTTTTTGTCAACTAAAAGAATGAAGCCGCAAAATTACGTTGTCTTTAAACAACAAAGACTTAAAAGAAAAACAGAGATTAAAGCATTGCCAAAATATGAAAGTCTATGGTCAACTTTTTTCAAGTTTCTTTTCATTTATGGCCATGGAATAATCATAGATGTCTTCATTTGGATTTGACAGAGAGTTTTGCTTTTATCATGCAAATGGGATTAGTTATATAACAAGCAAAAATTGTTTGTTTTATATATATATACTTTTTTTTACTCAGAATGTGGTCACTCGCTACATTAATTCTTTATAAGTAAATTAGCTTAATTTGAGAAAACGAAACTTCAAAATTTTCAGATGATAGCTGCATAAAATGCATAATTTTTGAGGAATGATTTACTATGTATTATTAGATAATGTGAATGAAATGAATAACCATGCAAAAAAGTACTAGTGATATTTTTGTGAAATTAAATATGATAATTAAGCAAATAATGCTATTTCATTGGCTTGAACGACATCAGCTAATTAGCTTCAAATAGCTTCATATTTCATTCATTTTTTCATGTATCTTTGTTACACAAATATATTTTGGAAAGGACAATTGCTTCTTTTCCTTCTTTTTACTTTTGAAAGAGATGAGAGAATTTCTGGGTAATATTTATTTCCTTGGGTGTCTATTGCTCAATCTAAAATTGATTTTGACAGATGTTCTTTTATATTATTGATAAAACAGAACTTGTTTTTTGATGAACTGAACATATGTGACATTTATAGTGAAATCGTAAGACCTTGTCAGAGATCTGGAAGAGCGTGGCAGGGTGTAGGTCTGACAGATTGCAGCAGGAAGAGCTGAAGTAATGTTATTAAGACCATGCCCTCTTGACAAAGCATCCAAGGACAAAAGACATGTGGACTTGTATTAGGCAGGGGTCTCCAGATAACTGGAACCAATGGGATGTGTGTGTGTATGTATGTGTATATATGTGTGGGTAAATACACACATGCCAACATATTATATATGTATATATAAATATATATTTCATACATACACACACACACACACACACACACACACACACATATATATTAGAGGGAGATTTATTTAAGAAATTGGCTCACCCAGTTGTAGGAGCTGACATGTCTGAAATCTGCAGGCCATTCAGCAGGTTTCCTGGAGACCTTGGGGAAAAGCTGATATTACAGATGGAATCAAAAGACTGTCTAGAGGCAGAATTCCTTCTTCCTTAGAGGACTTTAGTTTTACTTTTCTTCTCTTAAGGCCTTCAACTGATTGGATGAGGCCCACCATCATGGTGGAGGTTAACCTGTTTCATTCCCTGTCTACTGATTTAATGTTAATCACCTCTAAAAAGGACCTGTACAGTGACAACTAGACTGGTGTTTGGCCAAAAACTGGGTTATCATGGCTGATCCAAGTTCAAACATCAGAATGCTTACTAATAGTGCTATTAGTGAGGTTTGAGAAAAATATTGCATATCAGCTTAATTAAAATGCAGGACTTTTACTGCATGCCTAAAATCGTGGTAATAAGTATGGTGTGTGTGCATATCTTTGACAAACAGACAAAACCTTTGCTAAAGTGACTACATGTGTAAAATATTTTTAAAAAGCTAAAGCTACTGGAAATGAATAAGGTATTTAAATTGAGTGATGCTGATATTTAATATAAAAATGATTTTAAAATAAAGAATTTATGTAGTGAAAATGTAAATTCTTTTTCTGGTTGTTTTTAGTCAAACAGAATGCGAAGAAATAGGCCACTCTAAAAATAGGCACCATTGGGAGTAGATTAATAAAAGTATTTGTAGATTTTGAAGTTTGGAGAAAATGTTTTAAAAAGTCTAACAGTGGATGTTAAGCATATCAATTCATGATATATAGATATATATATATGTATTATTATCAGTTGTTCCCTTCAATGCACAGACTAGAAATGTAATATGTGTCTGTGTGTGTGTGGTATGGTACGACCCATAAATTTTCAGTGTGTCGTGTTTAGAATTTTTTTCCTCTTTTCTAGAATCTGAAGTGGTTCATTTTGATGGGCAAAGTGCTCTGCTGTACTGACTTGATACAAAATCTATAAAACCAATGAGGGATGTTATTTCTTTGAAATTTAAAGCCATGCAGAGCAATGGAATTGTATTCTACAGCGAAGGACATCATGGAAATCACATTACCCTGGAATTAATTAGAGGAAAGCTTGTCTTTTTTCTTAATTCAGGTAAAAAGTATTTGTACTTTTATACCAGTGTATTTTTAAAAACCTGTTTAGATGAAAGTGTGTTTATCGGTACTTAATCTATCCACTGTTAGGTAAAATGACCATATAATTTATCATCCAAACCAGAACACCTGTAAGAGATAAAAGATACACTACTAATAGTTACTTTGGGACAATAAGTGCAAAGTAGAACAGCAATGAAAAAATGTAAATGAAAGTTTAAGAGCATTACTAATAGATGCATGCAATGTGTGTGTATTTCAAGTATGTTTATGCAAACAGCATATATTTTCACAGCTGGGCAAGAAGACTACTATGTGTGTGTATGTGTAATATATTGTGATTATGTGGGTAATCATAGAGACAAGAATGGATTTGTGCAAAGTTATGAAATGGTGCTGATAATGAGATTCCAACAAAGAAAATAATGTGAATACAAATGCTATGAGGAATAATAGAAAAACAAATTACCGAAAAAGAAATTTCAACAAGGTATAGAAATGAATTTTAAAAGGAACAAAAGCGAGGTAAAGATACAGTGTTCAAGATGGGGAAAAGGTCAGAGGGCGACGGCACGGAAGGAGGGTTGGACGCAGATTGCAGTGCTGAACTGAAGAAGGGAAGCCATGGTCTTGAACGGAAATAATGAGTGGTTTTTCCCTTCCTCTGAAGGCAATGCCCAACTGTCCCCAACAGGCGCCCATGTAAACCTCACCCTGGGCAGCCTTCTGGACGACCAGCACTGGCATTCTGTCCTCATCGAGCTCCTCCACACACAGGTCAACTTCACCGTGGACAAGCACTCGCATCGCTTCCATGCCAAGGGAGAATCCAGTTACTTGGATCTTGATTCTGAGGTTATTACAAACTGTATAGTTTAAATGGCATATAACCTGTAAAAGAAACTCACCCTATAAAGAATTACCATTTTACGGTATTTCAGAACTATGCTGACTAATTCATAGGACTAGGTATGTCCAGGTGCTACCGAATCGTTTATTTCTTAGAATAGGTCAGTTTTTATTCTAGATCCCCTTTTCCACTTGAGAGGAAGTAATCAGTCAGAGTTGGGTTTAGGAAATCTACAAATAAAGAGATATCAAGGCAGTGAGCAATCTTATTAAATCTATCCCTTTGAAATTTCATCTGGTATATGGCATTTGTTGTTTGGCTATGAACGGATGCCTGGGTGTTTTTATTTATGTATGTATTTATTTTACTTTCCTGTTCTTGTGCACTCCTAACCAACATTATCTAGCATCACTTTGAGGAGTTAACAACGTATATACCAATAGTTTTATGAAATAATGAGTCAAGGCCAGACTCGGTGGCTCAATCTGTAATCCTGCGCTTTGGGAGGCCGAGGTGAGTGGATTACCTGAGCCCACAGGTTCGAGACCCGCCTGGGCAACATGGTGAGACCTCGTCTCTACAATACATCAAAAGAATTAGCTGGGTGTGGTAGTGTGTGCTTGTAGAAGGCTGAGTTGAAGGACCGCTGGAGCCCAGCCGGTCGAGGCTGTGGTGGCCGGGAACGGCCACTGCACTCCAGTCTGGGCGACAGAGTGAGACTCCAACTCAAAAAAAAAAAAAAAATTAAAATTAAGTAAATAACGAACCAAATGCTCACATATAAACAGTTTCTTATTATTCTTTTAAAGGACTGACGCTTTTTTGCAATCAATTGCCCATATGTATCTAGGCTACACAATAACATCTACTGTGGCAATTCTACACAGAACACCTTAAACTATGATAGATCAGGACAAATCAGGAAATATTTTTCTGGTATAGATGGCTTTGACATAAAATATTTATTGAATACCCTAGTCCTATACCAGATTATTCATAGTTTTATTACCTTAATTTAACCATGTAATAGCAAAAGATAGTACACAATGCAGAGATTGGTAAATTATGTCATCAAGCAAAAGTCTGGCCTTTTTTTTTTTGAGTTGGAGTCTCCTCCCCCTGTCGCCCAGACTGGAGTGCAGTGGCCGCTCCCGGCCACCGCAGCCTTGACCTGCTGGGCTCCAGCGATCCTTCCGCTTCGGCCTTCCAAGTAGCTGGAACTATAGGCGTGCGCTACCACGCCCGGCTAGTTTTTGATTTATTGTAGAGACGCGGTCTCGCCAAGTTGCCCAGGCGGGTCTCGAACCCGCGGGCTCAGGCAATCCACTCACCTCAGCCTCCCAAAGCGCGGGATTGCAGGCTGAGCCACCGAACCCAGCCATGGCCATTTTTTTGGTTGGAAAAATTACCTGCTTTTGTTTTTTAAAACGTTTATTAGAATATATGCCTATTTTAAAATGTATTTTCTCTGGCTGCTTCAGTGCTACGACGGAAGAGTTGTGTGCTGCAAAAGAGACCAAATGACCCAAAGAGCCAAAAATGTTGACACTGTGACCTTTCATTGAAAATTATTTGCTGACTCCTTCCTTTAAGTTTTTACATAAATGTCTGGTTCCAGACATAAAGGTATCCAAACATGTCATTATAATAGAACATTTACTTGAAATCAGCAAAACATAAAAATACAAGGCGTTGAGAATGGATTTGTGACAATTAGTGATATACCTGTGAAACATAAATGTTTTAAGTAGATAATCTGTAAATCACTAAACAATGTTGTTGTTGGTTTTTTTTCTAAGATCAGCTTTGGGGGAATTCTGACACCTGGAAGATCACTGGCATTCACACGTAGAGGCTTTCATGGGTGTTTAGAAAATCTTTATATAACGGAGTGGATGTTATTGAATTAGTTAAGATGCAAAAACCACCGATCTTCATTATGGTAAGAAAGTCAATGGAAGGAAAGAGAAAAGGATTTTTTATTTTTACACTTGAAAATCATTCCTGTTAAGTCTCTATTTGATAGAATATTTTTA